CTGAAAAAAACGGTTTTCACAAAAATATTAATAAGCAGCACAATTTTTTTCAACATTGATAATATAGAAATATCTTGCTATTGTGCAAATAATCAAGTTATATTGAATAATATTCGACCAGAGCATGTTTCTTCTAAACATATAAAAACATATCCATAAATCACAACACATGTATTATCATTCCCTGTATAAAATAAAGAATTTAAAAGGCACGTCTTTAACAGAAATGACCCACAACACATTTTCTCCCGCATCTGATACTGAAATCAATCAATAATACGAGATCATACAAATAATTTATAGTCAAAATAGTACGAACAATGAGTGGAGAAAACATGAGGTTTATTCACTCTTATTAACTAACCAACAGGGTATTCAAAAGCATCATAGAACAGTGTGCTTAACCATTAAAGTGTGTAAAAGTTCCTGCATAAACAAACTTGCACGAACCTGTGTATGTTTGCAGCGCGCCTCAACCGGAAATACAGAATTGGCGGGAGTGTGACAGGACAGCGTGACCTTTGACCGACAATACTGGAAGGACAAGGAGTATTTATTACTGCATAGAAAAATACTACGCACACTGAAACATATTTAAAAACACAGCTAATGTCTAAAACCATGCAGCGAACGCGTTTAAATGTGTGCCTCCACAACTCTCTATCGCAGTGGTTTGTGGGAAATGGAGTTCAGGGGATGTTTGGCTATTTTCCCGATGTTATCTTCTAATTCAGTGTTTATTTGCATTTACGCGATTGCAGAAATGTATAAGACAAAAACACGAATAGAGAGGTGAGCAAAAAAATTATAAATAGAGGTTAAGAGTGATGAATTGCCATTGATTAAGTATAAACTTGAGGTTAGCATTGCAAAACACTATGCATATGCTTTTTGTGCGGTTTGTTCTCATGTTGTGGATGTAATTTTTTTTTTTAATGTATTTTTAATTTTCTGATATGTATGTAGGTCAAAACCAAAAAATACAAGACATCATGTGCATCTAAATGCACTGTTTTCTGAAATGTTTCTGAAATCGTATCCAAACTGGAATCTGCCATACAACTAAAACGCAAAATATGGCTTGAAATTGTAAACGAAATGCATAAAGTGAGGCGGTGCACTGAAGCACATGGCTCCTTTTTCCCTCGTTCCCGTTAATGCTTCACACTCCAGTCCAGTTGGTGGCGGTAATACACCATAAGTTGAAATACAAGTACAAGTACAAGAAGAAGAAGAAGAAGAAGCACATGGCTCCTCCCTCTTTACGTTGAGTTTTGCAGCAGGTTGCGCGGCTGTGCATCAAGGGAAAGTGAAGTTTCGCTTCCACATCACGGAACAGGTACGTTTTTAATGTCAACATAGTACTCTTTTGCCTAAAATCTTAATGGTTATTTACATGCACAAATGCTTAATGCGTATTTTTGCTGATTATTACTGAACAAAAGAGCGCGTGGAAAACGCCGGCGCTGTTCTCTTGCAGATTGGATCATATGAGAAAACATGAGGTTTATTCACTCTTATTAACTAACCAACAGGGTATTCAAAAGCATCATAGAACAGTGTGCTTAACCATTAAAGTGTGTAAAAGTTCCTGCATAAACAAACTTGCACGAACCTGTGTATGTTTGCAGCGCGCCTCAACCGGAAATACAGAATTGGCGGGAGTGTGACAGGACAGCGTGACCTTTGACCGACAATACTGGAAGGACAAGGAGTATTTATTACTGCATAGAAAAATACTACGCACACTGAAACATATTTAAAAACACAGCTAATGTCTAAAACCATGCAGCGAACGCGTTTAAATGTGTGCCTCCACAACTCTCTATCGCAGTGGTTTGTGGGAAATGGAGTTCAGGGGATGTTTGGCTATTTTCCCGATGTTATCTTCTAATTCAGTGTTTATTTGCATTTACGCGATTGCAGAAATGTATAAGACAAAAACACGAATAGAGAGGTGAGCAAAAAAATTATAAATAGAGGTTAAGAGTGATGAATTGCCATTGATTAAGTATAAACTTGAGGTTAGCATTGCAAAACACTATGCATATGCTTTTTGTGCGGTTTGTTCTCATGTTGTGGATGTAATTTTTTTTTTTAATGTATTTTTAATTTTCTGATATGTATGTAGGTCAAAACCAAAAAATACAAGACATCATGTGCATCTAAATGCACTGTTTTCTGAAATGTTTCTGAAATCGTATCCAAACTGGAATCTGCCATACAACTAAAACGCAAAATATGGCTTGAAATTGTAAACGAAATGCATAAAGTGAGGCGGTGCACTGAAGCACATGGCTCCTTTTTCCCTCTTTCCCGTTAATGCTTCACACTCCAGTCCAGTTGGTGGCGGTAATACACCATAAGTTGAAATACAAGTACAAGTACAAGAAGAAGAAGAAGAAGAAGCACATGGCTCCTCCCTCTTTACGTTGAGTTTTGCAGCAGGTCGCGCGGCTGTGCATCAAGGGAAAGTGAAGTTTCGCTTCCACATCACGGAACAGGTACGTTTTTAATGTCAACATAGTACTCTTTTGCCTAAAATCTTAATGGTTATTTACATGCACAAATGCTTAATGCGTATTTTTGCTGATTATTACTGAACAAAAGAGCGCGTGGAAAACGCCGGCGCTGTTCTCTTGCAGATTGCATCATATTTTATCAACTGTTTGACATATCTTAACGCATTAAAATATATTTATTGTGTCAGACTGTGAGTATTAGTCATTTCAACTACTTTTATGCAGTATCACTCGACTGATCAGGCTTAGCTCTCGTGGCTAGGCAGCTAACGTTAAATGACTTTCTGAATATATCAGACGTTTTAATATGCATTTCGTCTTTTGCATGTTTCCAGACACTGTATATTAATTTACAAGTCAACATGCGTCTTTCCAATTATAGCAGAGCCTTAAGTTAGCGCACACTTGTCTCGGCCTTCTCCAGCCCATTTTCACCTTTTTCCTGCAGTTTTCAGGGCAAAGTCTCGGAGGGTCGTTGACCATTCTTGTGTTTTCTAGGGGTGGATACTATCAGCTTTTAGCAGAGATACTGAGCTGACAGGCGCTATCAGGGCCACACGGAAGGCGTGGAATCGACCTCTGAGCCAAGTGCACTTATAAAACGCGTTCAAGTCCCTCTTTTAAGGGTAAAAATGATTCAAATGCTCGTGCATTTGGTCTGTAGCTGAACTGAGATAAAGACTTGGGTAAAAGGCCATATTTAGACTGAACCACTTCTTGAATCAGAAGCCCATTGTTCAGAACAACTGACTATCATGTGACCTGCAGTGTGTGTGTGATCCACTGCAAAGCGTTTGCTTACATTATGAACTGATACTCTGGTTCAAACACGAGAAGTTACTTATCTTGCTGATTTTTTGTCTCTCTTTCCTGTTCTCATTTCAGAACTAATATTTTGAGGTAAATAAAATGTGGTAAATTACTTAAATGAGTTTAAGTCACCCAAAAATGAAAATTTCTGTCATTTAATCATGCTTAAGTTGTCCCAAACCTGTGTGGATTTCTTTCTTCCGCTGAAGATATTTTGAAGAATGTTGGTAACCAAACAATTTAGGTTCTCAGCGCGGCTGTGCATCAAGGGAAAGTGAAGTTTCGCTTCCACATCACGGAACAGGTACGTTTTTAATGTCAACATAGTACTCTTTTGCCTAAAATCTTAATGGTTATTTACATGCACAAATGCTTAATGCGTATTTTTGCTGATTATTACTGAACAAAAGAGCGCGTGGAAAACGCCGGCGCTGTTCTCTTGCAGATTGCATCATATTTTATCAACTGTTTGACATATCTTAACGCATTAAAATATATTTATTGTGTCAGACTGTGAGTATTAGTCATTTCAACTACTTTTATGCAGTATCACTCGACTGATCAGGCTTAGCTCTCGTGGCTAGGCAGCTAACGTTAAATGACTTTCTGAATATATCAGACGTTTTAATATGCATTTCGTCTTTTGCATGTTTCCAGACACTGTATATTAATTTACAAGTCAACATGCGTCTTTCCAATTATAGCAGAGCCTTAAGTTAGCGCACACTTGTCTCGGCCTTCTCCAGCCCATTTTCACCTTTTTCCTGCAGTTTTCAGGGCAAAGTCTCGGAGGGTCGTTGACCATTCTTGTGTTTTCTAGGGGTGGATACTATCAGCTTTTAGCAGAGATACTGAGCTGACAGGCGCTATCAGGGCCACACGGAAGGCGTGGAATCGACCTCTGAGCCAAGTGCACTTATAAAACGCGTTCAAGTCCCTCTTTTAAGGGTAAAAATGATTCAAATGCTCGTGCATTTGGTCTGTAGCTGAACTGAGATAAAGACTTGGGTAAAAGGCCATATTTAGACTGAACCACTTCTTGAATCAGAAGCCAATTGTTCAGAACAACTGACTATCATGTGACCTGCAGTGTGTGTGTGATCCACTGCAAAGCGTTTGCTTACATTATGAACTGATACTCTGGTTCAAACACGAGAAGTTACTTATCTTGCTGATTTTTTTGTCTCTCTTTCCTGTTCTCATTTCAGAACTAATATTTTGAGGTAAATAAAATGTGGTAAATTACTTAAATGAGTTTAAGTCACCCAAAAATGAAAATTTCTGTCATTTAATCATGCTTAAGTTGTCCCAAACCTGTGTGGATTTCTTTCTTCCGCTGAAGATATTTTGAAGAATGTTGGTAACCAAACAATTTAGGTTCTCATTGACTTCCATAGCATTTTTTTCTCCATACTATGGAGTCCAGCAACTGTTTGGTTACCGACATTCTTCAAAATATCTTTTTATGTTCATCGGAAGAAAGAAATTCCCACAGGATTGGAACAACGAAAGTGTGAGTAAATTCTAACAGCTTTACACATACATTCAGTCAATTTGCTGTTGTTTTTTTGCTGTCCTGGTACCACAAGAAAAAAGTTGTTGTGGTTGGTTTTTTTTTTGTCAAAAAACATTTTCTGCAATTAATAAAAAAAAGTTTTTAAATTTGTAATTAAATGTGTGGTGTAAGTAGCAGCAATAATAATAATATTCCTGATGTTCTTGGATTTTTTTGGTCAACAGTGACAAGCAATCTTCAAGATGTCTTCTGGAAACGCTAAGATCGGTCAGCCTGCTCCTCAGTTCAAGGCCACAGCTGTGATAGACGGACAGTTTAAAGACATTCAGCTGTCCGACTACAGAGGTGAGCATCAGACGCTCCACACACTGTGTTTTGTAGATAGAGAGTATTTCAAATGTCATTCTAAGCTACTTTTGCTTTCCATTGCATCACGATACTAGCCATCAAACCCACTAACTGGGTTACAGGTGTGACCTGTTTTCACTTCATCTTTATTTTCCCTCAATTTCTCCTTTAGGGAAGTATGTCGTGTTGTTCTTCTATCCACTCGATTTCACCTTCGTGTGTCCTACCGAGATCATCGCGTTCAGCGACCGGGCCGCTGAGTTTAGTAAAATCGGCTGCGAGGTCTTCGCTGCCTCCACCGACTCTCATTTCAGCCATCTGGCATGGTGAGGGTCCTGCTTTTATTCCTACATATTCCACATCTAAAGGGCTAAACTAGCTACTTTAGACAAAAATCTATATTTGATATCGTTAAAATGCTGTAAAATATCTAGTGCCTTCATTATAAAAAGTAATTTATTTTAGATCAATAGTGCCAGTGGTCCTACACTGTATGTTAGATGTCACTGTTGGGTTTCTCTCGCTTGTGAACGTGATTCTTAGCGGGCTTTCTATGGCTTCACCCAGTTAGTGGTTGTCTTCTGTGTTCTCCTAACCAGCCTGGCTTTGATAAGAGCTACTATAGAGTGTTAGAGAGGCACAGATAAAGGAAGGGTGTAGCGTTTTGTTAGTTCTAGAAACTGACACTTGAAGTCACATTGACCTTTTATTTAGAGAGCATTATTATTTACACTTAGTACTACTACTAATAAATGTTTAGGTTTAAAAAAAAAAATTTTCTAAAATAAAATAATGGTAGTAATATAATATATATTTTTAGGTTTATATGTGTGTATGCATGTATGAAGAGTTCATTTGCAAAAACCGATAACTCCATTTTAATTTTTTTCAGAAATCATGTTTTTTTTTATTGCGCATTCCAAGTAATATCAATCAAATTGCAGTTGGGTTGTTTTGATTAAGTAATAATAACTTAAACAAATACAGGTAATTTACTAAATTAAAGTTAATTGAAAGTTTTTTTTTTTTTACGTATTAAAAGTTTGTTTTATAGCAAAAGCAGATAACTCCACATTTCATTTTCACACACATATATATATATATATAGAGAGAGAGAGAGAGAGTTTAAAAACCCACTCGTTTAATCTTTGTAATCTCCTCAGATTACAATGTAGATGCCTGACAAACGTTGTTGTTGTGATCATAAACTGTATGGATGTGATTACACGCAATACATAGAAATTTCAAAAACCAGCATTTTTTCAAATAGAAATCTTTTCTAACATAAATGTCTTCACTGTCACTTTTGATCAATTTAATACATCCTTGCTGATTAAAATATTAATTTCTTTCAAAAAAATCTTATCGACACCTACCCCATAGGTTTTTGCTAAATAAAAAAAAAATATATACATAATAAATATATACACTGTGTATATGAGTTGCGAATTTGTCTGAATGAAATTGTCATCCTTTTTGAAGTAAAGTGGGGATACTTTTAATAATTCATTTACTTTAACTAAGGGACCTGTTTTTTTTTTTTTGTAGTAATCAACATTATTCGATGAATTCACTCAACTTGATCTGCAGATAGAACATTCCTTTAATGTTGAAAACTAATTTAAGAGCAGTCATACAGATTTTATTATAAACCGAGCAAACGGTGAGTTTTCGGTCTCTTGTCCTGCTCCCACAGAGGTCTGTTTGTGATTGACGATAAAGGCATCTTGAGGCAGATCACCATCAATGACCTGCCGGTGGGCCGCTCGGTGGACGAGACGCTGAGACTGGTGCAGGCCTTCCAGCACACCGACAAATATGGAGAAGGTGAGTGAGACGGGGCTCTTTCTGAATGTCCTGTTTATCTTGAGTACCTTGAGAATGTTTTGTGATCCGATCACTCAAACCACATTTGGAGGAGGTCAAAAACATGTGACCACATTGTATTTGTAGTGTAAACAGATGCGTCCTGATGCCAACGAAGAGCCGTTTGCTTGCATAACACGAAGTTATACTGTACCTCCAAATTGAGGGTTTTAAGCCCAGACTTGTACTATCTTTTATACGCTTGATTTCTACTCGAGACATCATGTTTGAAGTGCGATTAAATTCATGTGTATTTGAGAGCGTCATTATGGTGACTTTTTGCTTTATCCTGGCTGAAGTGATGTGTGTAACTGTGAAATCTGATCACAAGTGATCACAGGATGTGTAATGAGAGAGTGACAGTCCATATGCAGAGGTGTTGAGTAACTACTCAATACTCGCATTGATTTACCACAGAAAACAATTGGCTCATCCTTCATTTTGGGGTCATCAAGATTTTTTGTTATATTTTCATTCAGCAAGGATGCATGAAATTGAAAGTGACCGTAAAGAAATCCCCAATTATATATAATGTATAATTATATTACAACTTCTATTTCTATTTATTATTCCTTTTAAAAAATTTTATTAAAGAATTCTAAAATATGTATTATGTTTACACAAAAATGAGGCAGCACAACTGTTTTCAACATTGATGATAATAATGTTTCTCAAGCATCAAATCAGTTTATTAGAATGATTTCTGAAGGATCGTGTGACACTGAAGACTGGAGTAATGATGCTGAAAATTCAGCTTTGATCACAGCAATAAATTACATTTTAAAATATATTCAAATAGTAAATTGTAATTTTAAATAGTAGTAATATTTCACAATATTATTGCATTTTTTTAATCAAATTAATGCAGCCTTGGTGAGCAGAAGAGACGACTTTTAAAAACCATACCCACCCCAAACTTTTGCTGATAGCGTATATACAGTGGGTACGGAAAGTATTCAGACCCCCTTAAATTTTTCACTCTTTGTTATATTGCAGCCATTTGCTAAAATCATTTAAGTTAATTTTTTTTCCTCATTAATGTACACACAGCACCCCATATTGACAGAAAAACACAGAATTGTTGACATCTTTGCAGATTTATTAAAAAAGAAAAACTGAAAAATGCTCAGTATTTAGTAGAAGCACCCTCTTGATCTAATACAGCCATGAGTCTTATTGGGAAAGATGCAACAAGTTTTTCACACATGGATTTGGGGATCCTCTGCCATTCCTCCTTGCAAATCCTCTCCAGTTCTGTCAGGTTGGACGGTAAACGTTGGTGGACAGCCATTTTTAGGTCTCTCCAGAGATGCTCAATTGGGTTTAAGTCAGGGCTCTGGCTGGGCCATTCAAGAACAGTCACAGAGTTGTTGTGAAGCCACTCCTTCGTTATTTTAGCTGTGTGCTTAGGGTCATTGTCTTGTTGGAAGGTAAACCTTAGTTCCAGTCTGAGGTCCTGAGCACTCTGGAGAAGGTTTTCGCCCAGGATATCCCTGTACTTGGCCGCATTCATCTTTCCCTCGATTGCAACCAGTCGTCCTGTCCCTGCAGCTGAAAAACACCCCCACAGCATGATGCTGCCACCACCATGCTTCACTGTTGGGACTGTATTGGACAGGTGCCTGGTTTTCTCCACACATACCGCTTAGAATTAAGGCCAAAAAGTTCTATCTTGGTCTCATCAGACCAGAGAATCTTATTTCTCACCATCTTGGAGTCCTTCAGGTGTTTTTTTAGCAAACTCCATGCGGGCTTTCATGTGTCTTGAACTGAGGAGAGGCTTCCGTCGGGCCACTCTGCCATAAAGCCCCGACTGGTGGAGGGCTGCAGTGATGGTTGACTTTCTACAACTTTCTCCCATCTCCCGACTGCATCTCTGGAGCTCAGCCACATCCAAGCAGTAACAGTCCTGCTGTATTTCCCGGATCGTGCTCCCGTTCAGTGGGACGCTAGAGCACTTAACCTTAGCCTGAGAGTTCTTGAAAGTTGTCTTAAGCCAACGTAACAAACTCTTTGCAGTTTAAATGCACTTGTTAGACAGATTTCTTTTCGTTTTCATTGTCTGAAGAAGCTGTTGCGGTCAGCATCTCCCATGCACTGAAATGTCTGTAGTTTGTTTTCAGCTTATTTAATCGGTGTTACATATTTAGTATTCAGTGAACATTTGATTCATTTTGAATTGTTTCAAGTTGATTAACAATCTGGTGATCATCAATATCTGTGAAATAAACGGGCTGTTATTGTGAGATGGTGCAGTTCTCTTATTTTTACCAACATAACTCAGCTGTTGTTGTGTTTCAGGTTCATTACAAGTTATGTAGTTTCTGACATTTTGACTCCGTCTATAGGTTCATCCATCCAGAAAAGTTTTCACAACTCAATAAGGAACATGCAAACAGCTTTACTGCTCATATATTAAATAGGTTTTTACTAAATATAATTAGTAAAAATTATTTTGCAATAATATGAACTGTACATCTCTGCTTGTAAATCCAGCGCTTTTGTGCAACTGCAATTAAACCAGTGTAATTGACCAGGCAAGCTTATTTGATAATGGACCAGTCACAGTGTTATAAATGTGTATCAATAATATATTCATATTTAAATTAGATATTTTCTATTTTCATTTAATTTTATAGTTTTAGTAACTTTTTTTTATTTTAGCATTTTTATTAGTTATTGTTTTATTAATTTTTATTTGGACTATTCAGTTAGTACTTAAAGTTAAACTAAACTAAATGTGAAATGTCTGAAGTGAGCAATGAAGTTCTTGTTTTATTTATTTATTTTTAATTTTAGTATAGTTCAGTTTTAAATAAATATAATAACTCTGTTATGGACATTACCACAAATGATTTTGGTAGAGCTCGAATTGATTTTGCTACCTCCCGTTAAAACAGTAGGTAGTTCAATTCGACAATGAAAAATGCTACCTGTCAAATTATGGTTTAATCTACACCTACGTCTACACCTACCACAACCCTAAACCTACCCTTACAGTAATGCAAAAACAGTAATTATGTGTTATTCGCAGTTGTGGCTAGAAGGGATACAGCTACGGCTGGAAACCAACAATGAATTAATTTTTCTACATAGATTGTTATATTAACGTCTACACCTACCCAACCCTAAACCTACCCCTTACAGTAATGCAAATACATTAAATGTTGTTCAGCGTGAGAAAAAGGATGCAATATTGATGTGCGCATGCGCAGTAAGCCAGTGTCTGGACACCTGGAACATGTCTTAAATTTGGACAAATCAGACCGGTAGATGGCAGTATTTCATTACATTTGAGAGAAGTAGCTCAGGAGCAACTTGTTCTTATGAGCCCTCAGAGCAATAATAATTTAGGTAGGCCTATATAAGTGATTTCAAGGCAGATTTTAATGTTAATTAAGCAGAGCTTGTATTCACGACAGAGATCTAAACGATGTACTTCTCAAATTTGTAGGTTATGTGCTGCTGCTGTCGGGGTTATGTAGCCTACAACTCATCTGATAGTGACAATCTGGTGATAAAACACTCAAAAAAGCAAGGCATTTGACACTGAATGTTAAGCAATCGATTATATTTGATAATCTGGAAGTAGCTAGTGAATTTTATTGATTTTGCTGAATTGTTATCATGGTGTTATTTTCAACATCAAATGATTGATGCCAAACGAGCTAACAGGAAACGTTCTCAAGTAAAAGTTTTGGCAAGGTTCTCTAAAACATCTGAACAAACGTTCTTCCAGTAACGTTAGTGCTCATTCATAGTTCTTTAATAACGTTCTCAAAACATTATTTATACTTTATTCATGGAACCTTTTTTCCTGAAACGTTTTAGTTGAACGTTTGTCTAACGTTTTTGTTTTTGAATGTTATGACTTCGGAATATTCAGAGAACATTCAAAAGTAACATTCCCATAATGTTTGCACAATGATAAAATAAAATGTTCCTGTGGTGTTTGTAGCCTACTGTATAACCAAGAAAAAAAAGTATTTAGAAAAAAAAACATTAAACTTTCCGAGAAAATTCAGAAATACTTTTTCATATTAATGAGAACGTTGGAAAACTGTTCTTAAAACATATTTTTGTTAGCTGAGAATGGGACTGAAAACAATAGGCCTATGTGTCTTTTTATATAGGCCTACTGAAAAGGTGCTTTTGAACGTATTTTTATATATTTAACGTCTTAACAAATATTTGTGTCATCAAGCTAAATTTAAAAATGTTAATATATTCTGCAAATAGAGCTATGATTTAAATGGTGATATTCTATAAATATCTTGTTTTTAAACTCAATTATTATGTTTTAAACTATATGATGGCGACGGTTGATGCTTAACCGGAGGCATCACTTCAAGTCTTTTTAATAAAACAAAATGTCCACTAAAACCTAAAGATATTACGAAAGTAAATAGCCTACAAAACACTAGATTTGATTTATATAGGTTATTTGAATCAAATGTGCTTATTTGGGTAGAATTATGTCCTGACATGAGATATGGATTAATCCCTTTCATGTGTAGGCTAATATCTAATAAAGTCACCATCTCTGGACTATTTATGCCCAAGTAGAATTTGCTGTGTTTACATTCTGTTTGACTAATGTATTAGTTCTAAAGAATCCCTCAAAAAAACTTTTGGGGCTGACTAAAATGAAGAAAACTGGCTACTTGTGAAAGAATAAAGGCTGTTATAAAAACCGATCATATAGGCCTTATGCGTGGGTCTGTGGTTTTGGTACTGGACAGTTAATCAAAACTACGGTTTTTTTTCCCGGAAATCAAGTTACTGCGGGCACTTCTGATTTATAAGTCTAGATGTTATTTACTGCGATCTGTTTTTCTATTTTTATGCTTGCAACGGCTCCATTTTTTGCAAAGTACCTGGAAAATGCCCGTGCGTGTTCGTATTTTTATCTCTAGTTTTCGTTTCGCTGAAACTGTTTTGGGAAGGTTTCTGCGCGCGGGGAAAATCCCGCGTTGCTAAATTTTCACTCATTCACACGCGCTTCATTCATTCGAGCGTCAGACTTGAAAGCGCGCGGACTTCCTGACCGGTAGCGTGGGCGGGGGTTCCCGCAAGTCTACCCTCAGTGACGTACATGCGCCAAAACAGCCCATATATGGGCTTTGCGTCAGCAGGAAAAAGAAGCCAACTTGGGCACGTCTTCAACGTAAATTTAAAGCCGCACAGAGTGAGCCAGAAATGAACAACCCAAACAGTGGAATTATTTTCAACGCTTTTACTTAAATATAAAAAATATAAACAAAACAAACAGAAATACAGGTCTGGATCAACCCGACTCACAACATCAATAACTTACAGGAATGTTTTCATAGGGCAGCACTCAAAAACAAAACCAACTTAAAGGTTTCCCCTGTGCATTCACTGTCCATTCATCTACCTTGAAGATGCTTTTGAAAACAACTTTAACACTCTAGTTTTCTACAAGAAATACCCTCAGTGACGTACATGCGCCAAAACAGCCCATATATGGGCTTTGCGTCAGCAGGAAAAAGAAGCCAACTTGGGCACGTCTTCAACGTAAATTTAAAGCCGCACAGAGTGAGCCAGAAATGAACAACCCAAACAGTGGAATTATTTTCAACGCTTTTACTTAAATATAAAAAATATAAACAAAACAAACAGAAATACAGGTCTGGATCAACCCGACTCACAACATCAATAACTTACAGGAATGTTTTCATAGGGCAGCACTCAAAAACAAAACCAACTTAAAGGTTTCCCCTGTGCATTCACTGTCCATTCATCTACCTTGAAGATGCTTTTGAAAACAACTTTAACACTCTAGTTTTCTACAAGAAAACACTTAAGAAATATACAACGCTCGTACTCAGTGCTGCAATAGTATCATTTGCATCAAAACATCACAAACATGATCTGCGCTTCCAGTGTTTCCCATTTTGCCAGTGTCCGCGTCATTGCAGTTCATACTAAAACGACTTGATCTTGGACGGCAGCATCAGCTGGCACCCGCTGCTCACATGGGTCATGACCTTCTGCTTGAGCTGGGCGACTTGTTCCCTCAGTAGGGACGCGGTGTTGGACAGTCCGGCGTTATCCGACTTGAGATCCTTGACTTTGTCCTCCAGCCTGGAGATGCGCTCCAGCTTCCGTCGCCGGCACTTGGTGGCCGCCTGCCGGTTGCGGAGCCTCTTGCGCTCCGCTTTGAAGCGCTCCTGGTCCTCCATGTCGATGGGGGACATGGGAGGAGAGCCGTCGCTGCTATGCAGATCGGGAACGGTCTGTGGCTCCTCTTTGAGCGCGACAAGCCGCTGCGGATGATGGAGCGAGTGCTGGAAGTGATGAGGGTGCGTCGTGGCTTGGTGGTGATGGTACTGTTGGTGGTGGTGATGGTGAGGCAGGTAGCTGATGGTGGCTGTCGGGTAGTTGGTTGCAGGTGTGAGGTTAGTGTTGGGATTGCAGCTGTTCAGGGTGGTGTACACGGGGCTCTCCGGTTGCAGGGAGGCGCCGAAGACCGACGACGCTGGCGAGCAGGATGACACGCCGCCGGCTCCGATGGAGACGTTTGGCGGGGGCATCTGGTTCATTTTGTGGAGCTCGTCCAGTGCTTTTACGAAGCCGTCCGCGAAGCCCTCCTGCTCTTCTATGGTGCTCCGGCCGTAGAGATACTGCCCCGGAGTGGGTGATGTGATGACACCGTTACCGTTCTGGATGATGAGTCTCTCCAGCTCCGGAGAGGCGAGTTTCAGAGAGCCCACGTCTCCGGTGTAGAAGTCGCTTTCGGAGCGCAGGGACTTGAGGTTCCGGTAAGGTTCGGCGAAGCCCACGCTCATGTTCTGCTTTAGGAGCTTGTAGTCGTGCAGGGCAGCGTCTGGATGACCATAAGCAGAAAGAAACGAGTCGTCATGATAAAACGGTTGCTCCATTTTTGTTGACATGTGAATAGCAATTAGGTTGGAGGCTTTTGAGTTGACTGTACACTTTACTGTCCGCAAATCTTGTTCTCTCCGTAATATTACATGAAGATGTCAAAAAAGATTTCAAAGCGAGAAAAGAAACTTCCAAAATAGTTTGAACAACTTTACTGTACCAAGTCGACAGGTGTTTTCCCTTGACAGGTGATGTCCAAAAAGTTGCGTGCCGGGACAGTTATTTACAAACAGTCGTACGCGGAGTCTTCTGTCTCGGTGCGCACTCGATCTCACGAGAAAGTGCGCCTCGAAGCGCTTTATACTCCGCGTTCCGGGGGCGTGGCTTGGAGACTCGCGGCCGCTGATTGGACAAGAGTTCGTTCCGCTCCTCGAACTGTCAGATGAGCGGTGACGTCGTTACCGTGAACCGCTGCTGAGATTGAAAACAACGCTAGAGGCGAGAGTGCAAAGCTGAAGGGAGGCTGCGCTCCTATTTTTGTTTCCACAGACAAGACGCAAAAACTGGCCGCAATAGTTACATAGGCACTATTTTAGAAAAGTTTCCCATGGCCAAGTAAACAGAAACTCTCTTGTGGTCTTGAGAAAAACACGGCGTTAAAAAAATGCATGGTAGTATAAGCTTTGAAGTACTAGTAGCCTACCTATATACAAAAATTAAAATACTTGTCATTAGGAGAGCTTACAGATTATTTAGTTATTGTCTTTATGATTTTGTTTTCTATATATATATGTAGTGAATTGTAAATAATTAAGACAAGATCGAGATGACAGAATTATGAAGTTAATTTGATGATTATTGATATTATTGATTATTATTACCCAATAAGGAGTGGAGAAGGAATATGCTTCTTCCTACTCCTTTTCGGACATGTATCATTTAAAATTATTTTGTATTGTGTTATATCGTCCTGTTTTGTGTATTAGTTTTGTATTGTATTTATTTTACATGGTCGAAATAAAGTCTAAAAAGTCTAAAAAAGTTTACACTGAATGTTTAAGCAGCTCTTTTACGCACAAAGAAAGTGCAGGTGATTTTAAATGTCAAGCTCTAAATATATTCCTCTAGTTTAGGTGGCACATCTAAACTGGCGATTTAAGTAAATACAGGATGGGATTGGATCATTTTAACCCAGATGAATGTGTCAGGGCCACCACATCATCTAGTAAGGTCCTGTCTTAAAGCATACTAAGCTTCATGAGTTAGATAAAATAAAGATGCCAAACTAATTCAGATCATATATAATGCAGATTTTAGCCATTTTGCATTTGAGTACTTTTACTTACTGAGTCATATAATAAGCAAAGCATGAGTAATAGTAGACCTTTTTTATAGGGCTTTAAGAGTCTGATCCCACAGATAGACTTAGCTATTAAATGTCTTTCTTTAAAGTAGCCTACAAGCTGTAACCATACCTCTGTATTGATCAGGAATAAACTGACTCATGATTTGGCAACTGATATCCGTCCCATATAAGGGCAAGACCACACAGTAGTTCCTCCTCAGTGAGCGACCGGGAAACCTCTCCCATATCGGCCTGATTCCAGAGGCAACGCCTCCGCACAGGGAGAGGTGG